GATAAATATGAGAAACTTAAAACAGAACTTATCAAAAGGAACTCAGCATCTCGAGAAAAAGAAGTGAAGCAATTGTTAATGCATGAGGAACTTGGAGATAGGTGTCCATCACAATTTTTACGACATTTGCAACATTTAGCGGGCCCTAATGTTCCAGATGACTTTATCAGGACAATATGGACTAGTCGCATTCCAAACAATTTGCAAACCGTTATTGCATCACAGCCTGACTCAACTTTGCAAGCACTGGCTGCCTTAGCTGATAAGGTGCACGAACTTGTTCCGGCATCTCCACACGTAGCTTCAATGGATGCAGCATTAGGATCTTTACTTGACACAATGTCAAAACAGATCGCGGAACTTACTCGTCAAGTGCAAGCATTATCCTTCCGAAATCAAAGAAAATCACGGTCACAAAATAGAGAAAACAAACGAGACCGCAACCATAGTTAGAGTCACAGTCATACTCGTAATCGGTCTTTAACGGTGGTAGAGCCTTGCAGCAGCTTTTGCTGTTGCACGTATGGGCCGGCTCGAGCCGGGTTAGTACCACGACCTCACAGAATACTGGCGTGAAGTGGAAGCTCTGCTTCCGCGTTTCGTCTAGTAAGTGCAGGTGACCGGATGCCCAATTCCCCCCCCCCCATCAACATGGTAGCGGAATTACGTCATAAACTACCCCAGGAGGGTACCAGTACCCCTGGAGAATCCCTCCTGAGCGTGGGTGCTCAGGCTGCCCCGCGTATTCTGGGGGGGGCAAAATTCCGCTCAACACAATAACTGCTCGGGGCAAACTGAGCAACAAGACCAAGGCGACCCCTGCCACGCTATCCGTGAATTTCTGCAACATCAGGGGACTTCACTCGAACCTAAACGCCGTCCACTACCATCTTGAGACGGCGAAGCCGGCCTTGCTCTTTCTGACCGAGACGCAGGTGTCCTCTCCGGCTGATACTTCGTATCTCTCCTACCCGGGGTACAAATTGGAGCACTCCTTTGTGCCTCGGGCTGGAGTTTGCGTGTATGTCAGAGAGGACATCTGTTCTCGACGCCTCGGCAGTCTTGAAGGTTCTGACCTGTCCATCCTTTGCTTACGCGTAGACAGCGACGACCATCCGCGCGTCTACGTGTGCCTCTATAGGTCCCATAGCGGTAATGCCGAAACAGACCGACTCATCAACCACGTCCAAATGGCTACAAATTCCTTGCTACAACAGGTCCCATCCGCAGAGATCGTGATCCTTAGCGATTTTAACGCCCACCACGCCGAATGGCTCGGTTCACGTTTAACCGATCATGCGGGGAGATCTGTTTATGACTTTGCCTTGGCATATGGTCTGACACAACTGGTTACATCGCCTACGCGGATTCCAGATGTTGAGGATCATACACCTTCCCTGTTGGACCTTCTGCTGACCTCTCATCCGGACGGATATCAGGTTTCCGTCGATGCCCCTCTTGGCTCTTCGGACCATTGTCTGATCCGGAGTGTGGTGCCACTCACGCTCCCCTCGCGGTTGCGTTCTGCAGGTTGCCGCCGTGTTTGGCATTACAGGTCGGCGGATTGGGACGGAATGCGGTCTTTCTTTGCTTCCTACCCATGGGGGCGGGTTTGCTTCTCGCCGGATGATGCCAGCGCTGTTGCTGACTCTGTCACTGATGTAGTGCTACAGGGAATGGAACTATTTATTCCATCATCTGTGGTACCCATCGGAGGCAGATCTCAGCCTTGGTTTGGTCGCTCCTGTAAGACTGCATTACGCAGTAAGCAGGAGTGTTATCAAGCCTGGGCTGCGGCTTCGGTGACTCGGGATGTAAACACCAGCACACTCAAAAAGAAGTATAACTTCGCCTCCAGGTCCTTCAAAAGAGTTATTGCCAAGGCAAAGTCAGATCACATAGGCAGAATTGGCGAGAAACTAGTTCGCCTTCCTTCGGGAACCCGTGCATTCTGGTCTCTCGCCAAGGCTGTCCAAGGGAATTTCTGTAAGCCATCACTACCATCTCTGCACAGGGAGGACGACTCACTGGCCCACGACGCAAAAGAGAAGGCCGAAAACGCAAAAAGAGAAGCCTTTTAGGCTCCCTTTTTGCGTCCAACTCGACTGTTGATGACGGGGGAAACACACCGCCGACCATCCCGCGGTGTGAGTGCTCCATGCCGGATGTGCGATTCTCACAGCGCTCGGTTCGCAGAGCACTCCTCTCCCTTGACATCCACAAGTCGAGTGGGCCTGACGGAATCCCCCCAATTGTGCTGAGGACGTGTGCTCCGGAGTTGGCACCGGTTCTAACGCGTCTTTTCCGGTACTCCTACTCCCTAGGCGTAGTCCCGAAATCATGGAAGACAGCTTTTGTCCACCCGATCCCTAAAAAAGGCGACCGCTCAGATCCGTCCAACTACAGGCCTATCGCCATCACCCCCTTGTTCTCCAAAATAATGGAATCCGTTGTAAACTGCCACCTCATGCGGTACCTTGAGGATCACCAGCTGATTAGTGACCGCCAGTACGGTTTTCGTCGGGGTCGATCAGCTGGTGATCTTCTGGTTTACTTAACTCATAGGTGGGCGTTGGCAGTAGAGTCCAAGGGGGAGGCATTGGCCGTTAGTTTGGACATTGCGAAGGCCTTCGATCGGGTTTGGCACAAAGCGCTTCTTTCGAAGCTCCCTTTCTATGGGCTTCCCGAGAAATTATGCAATTGGATCACCAGCTTTCTTGCAGATCGGAGCATCAAGGTCGTTGTAGACGGTGCATGCTCCGACTACAAGCCTATTAACGCTGGTGTTCCACAAGGCTGCGTGCTATCACCAACGCTGTTTCTTCTGCATATCAATGATACGTTGCAAGCTGGTAGCATTCATTGCTATGCAGATGACAGCACTGGTGATGCTCTATACACCGGCCGTGCCAATATTTCTTGGGAAAACGTCACCGAGTACCGGAACAAACTTGTGTCTGAAGTCGAGTCTTTGCTGGACAAAGTCTCGGATTGGGGGCGACTAAATCTAGTCCAGTTTAATCCTCAGAAGACACAAGTTTGCGCGTTTACCGCTAAAAAGAACCCCTTTGTCGTATCTCCTCAGTTTCAAGGTACTCCCCTTGTTGCCTCAGCCAGTATCGAAATCCTCGGCGTCGACATATCGAGTAGCGTGCAGTTTCGTGGTCACTTGGAAGAGAAGGCCAAATTGGCCTCTAAAAAGCTTGGCGTGCTCAGCAGAGCGGGACAGTATTTCATGCCGGCTCAACGCCTGCAACTTTACAAGGCGCAGGTTCGGCCTCACATGGAATACTGTTCCCATCTCTGGGCTGGGGCTCCTCAGTGCCAGCTTCTTCCACTTGACCGCATCCAGCGCAGAGCGGCTCGAATCGTCGACGACCGAGTCCTTTCCGATCGGCTCGACTCATTGGCACTGCGAAGAGATGTTGCATCTCTTAGCATTTTCTTTCGCATTTACCATGGGGAGTGCTCTGAGGAATTGTTCGGATTAATCCCAGCCGCCAAATTTCACGAACGCACATCGCGGCAGAACTCCCGATACCATCCACACCATCTGGATGATTGGCGGTCCACCACTGTGCGATTTAGAAGATGTTTTCTTCCTCGCACAACTTCCTTGTGGAATAGTTTACCACCAGCGATTTTTCCGGACCGATACGACTTAGGGACCTTCAAGAAAAGAGCCTACTCCTTTTTAAAAGGCCGGCAACGCACCTGCAATTCCCCTGGTGTTGCGGTTGTTCATGGGCGGCGGTAGTCACTTACCATCAGGTGAGCCGCATGCTCGTTTGCCCCCTCTCCTATAAAAATAAAAAAAAATCTTAGTCAAATTATAGAAGATTTCCATTATGCTTATATCATTATAAAAACGGCGATAAGGCTAAAAAGTGCGTTAAGCCTTGTGATTACCAACAGGGAAACGATCAGGGCAGTCGTTAGTGGCGACAAATGATTGCCTCAGTTCATCAGGTCGCCTGTTTGTCACGGACCGCAAAACGAAGATGCAATTCTTGGTCAACACCGGAAGCGACCTTTTTGTCTTTCCGCGCACGGCACTTAAACAGCGACGACCTCGAACATCTTACGAACTTTTTGCAACAAATGGAACTCCCATACCCACCTACGGCTATACTCATCTCGTACTAAATCTGGGACTTCGATGAGATTTTTCATGGCGCTTTGTAGTAGACGATGTAAACAAAGCAATCATCGGAATTTATTTTTTTATCATTCTATCATATATTTGTCGACTGTCGTAACCGTCGGTTAATAGATAACAGTACTTCGTTGCAAACACCTGCAGAACCTGCTACAGCTAATGTGATAGCTTCAGTTAAATGAGAGGTCATTCAAAGTATGTTGAATTACTACGTGACTTTCCGGAGATAACCCGACCGTCAGGTGTACCGCAAGCTCCTAAGCATAGTACCGTCCACTTCATTTGTACTAAGCCAGGACCACCTTTGTCTTACATTCCAAGAAGATTATCACCAGAAAAACTGAAAATAGTGAAGCAAGAATTCGAGGCAATGATAAAGAGTGACATAGCACGACCATCTGAGAGCCCGTGGTCTTCTCCGCTCCATATTGTACCAAAGAAACATAACGGATGGCGGCCATGTGGCGATTGCAGAATGTTGAACGCACAGAAAATTCCAGACAAATATCCCATCAGGTACTTACAAGACTTTACCCATTACATATCGGGTTGTACAATTTTATCTACGCTAGATTTGGTGAAAGCGTACAATCAGATACCAGTCAACCTAGATGATATTCCGAAGACAGCAATCACCACACCATTTGGTATGTTCAAATTTCCATACATGAATTATGGCTTAAAAAAACTCGAGCCAAACCTTTTAAAGGTTTATAGACGAAATAACTCGAGGACTTGATTTTTGCTTCGCGTACCTGGATGACTTTCTAACACTTGCCCAGGATGAAGAATGCCATCTTGACCACCTTCGCAAATCTTTGAAAAACTTCAGGAATTCGGTATGGTTATCAACACGAGCAAATGTGAATTTGGTAAGAAAGAAATCACCTTTCTAGGGTATCACGTTTCAGCCAACGGTGTTAAGCCTTTGGACAGTAAGGTTCAAGCCATCAAAGACTTCCCCACTCCGAAAACTGTACGAGAACTTCGGCGTTTTCTAGGGATGTTAAATTTTTATCGCCGATTTATCAAAGGAGCTGCCGAAATTCAAGCACCATTAGGCTCTTTGCTGACGGGTTCCGTAAAGGGATCACGTTCCGTGGATATATCTGGAGAAGCCCTACATGCCTTTGAGCAGTGCAAAACTAGCCTCTGTCAAGCAGCATTCTTGGCACATCCAGATCTGAACGCAAGATTAGTTTTGGTAACCGACGCCTCAGATAAGGCAATCGGTGCCACCTTTCAGCAAGTAAAGAATGGATCATGGCAGCCACTTGCATTCTTCTCCAAGAAACTGAAACCAACGTAACAGAAGTACTCGCCATACGACAGGGAGCTTCTTGCTATATACGAGTCAGTGAAATACTTCAGACACATGCTTGAAGCAAGACATTTTAATGTTTTCACTGACCACAAACCAAACTGTTATGCATTTCACATCAGAAAGGATAACTGCTCACCCCGCCAGTATCGTCATCTCGATTTCATATCTCAATTCACCACCGACATCCAACACATTTCCGGAAAAGATAATATAGTAGCTGATACGCTATCAAGAGTTTAAGAATTAGCTCAGCATGTTAATCTAGTTACCTTTGCCAAAATGCAGGACCTGGATAAGGAATTGAAAGAAATTCTGAAAGGTGGGACATCACTTCGATTAGTTAAGGTATCAATACCTGGCACGAAGACAGACGTATATTGTGATGATGTAACTGGAAATCAAAGGCCTTACGTACCTCAAAACTTAAGGAAGCAAGTCTTTGACAGTTTAAATTCGTTAAGCCATGCTGGGGTCAAAGCCACAACAAAAATGATAACAGATCGCTACGTTTGGCCAAGAGTAAAGCGAGACTGTCGTGAGAGTAGAATAGAATAGAATAGAATATTTTTTATTCAATATACATTACATGTGTAATTCTTATTGAAAGTCATTTTTTACTTTACCACTTGTTCGAAAAAACCCTCTGTCCTGGGAAGAACCAGCAAGAAACCCAGCGGGACTTTCTTTTAAATAAATTTTACAATATAAATGATTACGAACTATTTACAAAATTTACTTTAGAAACTGCTTGGAAGCGACCACCTCATTCCCAGGGGTTATTTTCAACCATGTATTCATTTATACTATAATGACTATGCTATGAAAATAACTAAAATAAACTAATCTAGCTGTCTCGACACTAGTGAGACCTCTAATCTCTTTTACAGCATAGGCTGCAGATCTTAGTCTGCTTGCTAATTTGGATATATGGGGGCCCCACTGGAGCTTTGCCAAGAAAAACAGTGGATAGAACAGGGCTCAATTCCTCCCCATTTAAAAACACATTGGTATTCAGATTTTTAACATTCGTTGTTGTAAATTTAACACAATTAGTTTTATTTCCGTTCAAATGCAGATTATTAACGTTAAACCAATGCACTAATTTTGATATAGCATTATTCACTTCGTCACATTTAAATGATTGACGTTTAAGTTTAAAAATCAAGGAAGTATCATGACTATCCCTTACAAGGTGAAGTAAGTCATTAATATACACCAGAAACAGGAATGGGCCGAGAATCGAGCCCTGAGGAACACCCATTAGTACAGGTGACCCGGAAGAACTTTTACCATTGATAATAACCTTCTGTTTTCTATTACTTAAATATGAAATAATAAGTTTAAGCGCTGTATTCTTGACACCTTAGTACTGTAGCTTCCTGATTAATGTCTCATGGTGAACACAGTCAAAGGTCTTGGAAAGGTCACAAAATATACCCAAAGCATCATCTGAATTCTTCCATGCACAAAAAATATGTTTAATAAGCTCAACTCCAACGTAAATGGTCAAGAACGTGTCAACTCTGCCAGCGAAAATAACACGTCATGTCTCCGCGCCTTTAGGCACATACAAATTACCACCTGCCAGATTCCAATACGGCCATATAGACATCATTGGACCATTACCTGTATCAGATGGATATTGTCTTACAGCAGTTGATAGATTTACCAGATGGCCTGAGGTAATAACCTTATCAGATAACACTGCTGAAACTATTGCAAAAGCAGTTCTTAATGGCTGGATCTCGCGTTTTGGGTGTCCTACTGAAATCATCACAGATCGATGTGCACCTTGTTTAATTTATATTGGGAACCTAAGCGGGTACCGGTAGACTGGTGCAAAGCCGTTATAGTCCCAATATATAAAGGAAAAGGATTACAGCAGAACTGTAAAAACTACCATGGTATCAGCCTTCTTAGCATTGTGGGAAAACTGTATGCTAAGGTACTAATTGAAAGAGTTATGGAAGAAACTGATGGAAAATTTTGGATAAAATTTGGTTTGGCATCCATAAAGGTCAGACAGGGCTGCGTGGCTTCCCCGTGGCTGTTCAACCTATTTATGGACAGTTGTTTGGAAAATTTGAAAGTAGAAGAATGCGGTTTAAGAATGGAAGAGTTAACCGTCAAATGCCTTTTGTAAGCCGATAATCAAGTCATACTTGCGTCGTCGGTGGCCGAATTGCAAATGATGGTTACATTAATGAACAGGACATTAAAAGAAATGAAAATGAACGCAAGTAAGACGAAAGTCATGGTTTTTGAAAGAGAAGAAAGTATAACGATATGTGAAATAAGAATAGAAGGGGTCGAGCAAATATATGAGTTTGTGTATTTGGGATGCGTATTTAGCAGGGATGGTAGACATGATAAGGATATAGAACGACGAGTGAATGCAGGAAATAGAGTGAATGGGGCTCTACACTCTATTGTGAAAAGTCAGAATGTGTCCAAAAAGGCACGTATGTTAATTCACAATGCTGTGTTAGTACCTTCTTTAATGTATGGTAGTGAAAGTTGGGTGTGGCAGAAGAAGCATGAGAGTAGAATAAATGCTGTAGAAATGCGGTCATTAAGGAGTATGTTAGAGATGAATCTGAATGACAGAGTGAGAAATTGTGTGACAAAAGAAGAGTGTGATTTGCAAGATGATGTTGTGACCAGGATTAAGAAAGGAATGCTTCGGTGGTTTGGTCATGTAGAAAGAATGAATGAGGAAAGAGTGACAAAGCAAATTTATGTTGCAGAGGTGAACGGCAGAGTCGAGAAGAGACGCCCTAGGCGATAGTTTATCAACCAAATTAGCGATATATTGAAAATGGGCAAAATCAAGAGTACCTTTAACCGACGAGCGTATATGCGCAGGTATATGGATGTGGAGGAAGCGAGAGAGGTGTGTCAGGATCGTGCCAAATAGAAGTCCATAGCCTTTGCCTACCCCTCTAGGTGACAGGTGTGAGTGTTTATTATTATTATTATTATATAGTTTACTCATCTGGTTGGGCTGTATAAATATATAATTGTAAATGAAAATGATAAACATACATAAATATTAACAAAATTAAATAAATGCATAAAAAATACATAAATAAATAAAAACCCAACCAGATGGAAGCCCTCGGCAGGGGAGACCAAACGGCCGAGGGTTAGGGGGAAAGGGAAAGAAACCGGCGGACGATGCGGGCGGTATCGAGGAGCACCGCCTTCTGCATTTGAGCATGGAGCGGTCCGTCACGGAGTCCCAGTCGCCTCAGATGACCCAAGAGGCTGACTGGGATTAACCCGTTCGCAGAAACGACTACAGGTATAATTTCGGCCGGCAATCCACCCCACATGTCGGTCACCTCGTGAGCCAGGTCCAGATATTTTGTTCGCTTATCTGTTTCGGCTTTCGCGAGGTTCTCGCCATACGGAATGGTAATGTCGACCAAAAATATCCTTGACTGTGCCCGGTCCATCAGCACAATATCAGGCTTATTCGCAAGAATGGTCCTGTCTGTGATGATGGCCCGGTCCCAGTAGAGCCTGGCGCGGTCATTTTCGAGCATGGCTTCCGGCATGTACTTATAATAAGGCAGTTTCCGATCCACGAGACCGTATTTCAGAGCGAGCTTCTGGTGTAGAATCCTGGCTACTAGGTTGTGCCTATGCAAGTACTCAGAGTTAGAAAGCGCCGAACGACCGGGGATGACATGCCTAAGTGATTCACCAGGATGCCGACAAGCTCGACAAATGTCGACGGTGCCATCCCTTAGGATGTATCTCCGATAGTTGTTGGTCTTAATAACCTGATCCTGTATTGCACAGACAAAACCCTCGGTTTCCCCGAAGAGGTCACCAAAACGTAGCCAGTGGAGGGAGGCAACTGTATCTACGAGAGGCTCATGTAGAACCTTGTAGAACCTCCCGTGGAGCTCCTTCTCCTTCCATACGGTCTCCCGGTCGGAAATGCTCTGTACTGCCGGGTCTTGCCATTGCTCGTTGGCTAAGGATAGAGGGGTAAGTCCTTTATCACAAAAAATAACGTCCCTATAGAATGGATCATCCGCTCTCGACAGAAAATAATTACGGAGGCTGCACACTTCGCGATTATGCAGGGTAAGCGCGCTTAAGAAGCCGCGCCCACCATGCTTCCGCGGCAAGTACAGCCTCATTACCGACGATCTCGGATGATGCACTCTGTGGGACGTCATTATAGTGCGAACTTTTCTGTCCAGAGCGTTCAGTTTGGTCTGAGTCCACCTGAGTATGCCAAAGGTATACATGAGAACAGGCATGATCCAGCCGTTATAAGCGTGTGTCTTATTAACGCCCGACAAAAGACTGTTAAGCATTTTTGTCAAGCGTGCATAAAACACATCGCAAACTGACTGCTTCATACCCGCCTCATCGACACCGATGTTCTGTGACATACCAAGGTATCGGTATGTTTCAGCCTCGGAAAGGGTCCTTATGCTGATGGGCATAGATAAGTCCATGCCCTCAGAGTTAGCAACCCTTCCCCTTTCGACATGGAGGATCGCACACTTATCCGTCCCCAGCTCCATTCCAATAGAATTGCTAAAATCACAAGTGATGTTTAGCAATTCCACAAGATGGGAGCGACTGGAGGCGAATAACTTGAGATCATCCATATAGAAAAGGTGGGTCACTTTTGTACCTCCTTTCCGAAGCTGAAATCCCCTCCCGGAACCCTCCAGTAAGGTACTGAGAGGGTTCAGAGAGAGGCAAAACCAGATTGGACTCAAACAATCGCCCTGGAAGATACCCCTTCTTATCCTTATGTGGTTCTTCGCAGCCGTCATCCGCTGGCCTAGATGACAAAGGATCGTACTCCACTGCCCCATACACTGCTCGAGGAAGTCTCGAACCGTACAGTCAACCTTGTATAGCTCGAGGACCCTCTCAAGCCATGTATGAGGCACCGAGTCGAATGCCTTTTTGTAGTCTATCCAGGCGGCGGAGAGGTTCCGACGGTTGCGTTT